GTATCGTTGGTAATAGTCTAGCTCATGTTATAATTGCCAGGTGGTTAGGTTTACCACGTGAGGCATATTGAGTTGCCTTGTGAGATGTATTGTACAAATAAACCGTGTTTTATATGTTTATGTATTTGATATACCTCGTTGATTTATATTTGTAATAAACCCACTGCACCGATTTATTGTCCTTGAAACCCTGTGTCGCTGTGAGGTTTATGAAGGTTTCCCTGTATTCCCTTGCTCTGATACCAGTATCAATCTTGTCTTTCCCAACTGGTGGTAAATTTCCACCAAACGAACTGCTCCAAGGCTTAGTCCGACGTTTGTTAGCTGATATCCCCCCTTGTGTCAGGGTAGCCACTCATCCTTGCCCAAGGTTAATGAATCTATCTGTGGGGTTGGGCCTGGTCAATTCCAGTCATCTCTGATCAGGCCGGTCGACTAGGTGCGCCATAAGAGGTGTCAGTTATCCCGCCACAGTACACTTCCATAATGCTCGGTCACAGAATTGCCGCTGAAAGTGTCTCTTTATGCAAAATAGCAATGCTCTATTGTCCCCTGAATTCAGCTTTATAATAGCCACCCTTGGAAAACCAGTATTTCATTCATTCAAATCCGGTGCCCACAGGTAAAGCGGTCCTATACAATGCACTGGCTCAGACGATCCCACCGCGCACGGTAACAGTTTTTTCGTCCTATGGTCCAACTTGAGATCTAACAGCATGGCTCTTCGACTGCGGTTGTTGACTGTCCTCTCCTTGACACTGGCGGTTGCTTGTGGCCGACAAGTAGGACTTCTCAGCAAGTTGAGAGCTTCCCAGCAATCTGCCTGGTCAGACCCTGGGAATAGAAAACTTAAGATCTCGACCTCCAATATTCTAGGTGAGTTGAATACTACATAAAATACAGCGTTTGCAGGCAGTTTTGAGTGCTTATACAGGAGTGTATACAGGATATGGTATATGAAAAGATTCCTGAGATTTTACTGTAAAAACCTTCCAAAGGAGGGTTAAACAGAAAGAGATGAGGCCTAAACTGCGATTGGGTCAGCGGTTTGTTGCTCAGTGCCCAGAGTGCAAGGGCGTATGGGGGAATAGATCCATCCCCCCAGAAAAAGAAAGAAATCAGAGGATACTGAAACAAAACCCAAGTTTAGCCCCCCGAAAAAAAATTGTCACCGGATCCGCCTTTTCCCGGATGGTACATAACACTGCATTTTTTGACACTAACGTTTTTGGCAAAACTGTGGATTTGTATTAAATTATTAGTGATCAGCTGTCGAATGTGTGTGGACAGCACGCACTTTAGTTAACCTAAAGTAAACCACGAGAATGTTTTTATATTGCTGTTGCACTGGTGCACAAATTTTTATATCCCGGAGTTAGTGGTAAAGGTGGACCCCGTACCAAATTTTCAATGGATAAAAAGGAGGCCTCTTTTGGGGGGCGTGACCTCGTTTGCGCGTTTGGATCTGCCCTTGTGTAACAGTGTGTCTTGTTACCATTTTAGAAGTTTTCAGTAAGGTCTGAATTAATCCTTCCCCCGTTTACATAAAGGCAAGAATTCCATATACGGACAAAACTAATTTTTCCCTTCAGTTATCTATATTAGCCATTTAGCAGGGAAAATATTGGGGTATTCACTGAGAAAACAGATTTCAGACCAATAGGGTGTATTGCGTCATCCGTATATTGCGCATGCCTACAAAAAGGCCGACTCATCCACGTGACCCCACGTACATCCACTGCACGTTATTTAGGAAGTAATCAAGCTTAACACGAAGCTGTCTTGGGGATATGGTGAACAATTTTCTACGGAAGGTGTGATTTGTGGCGTAACTAGGGTTATTAATGTCTGGGGGTACCCATGGGTGCACAATTTTTTTTTCCTGGGGCACCAAAAGACAAATGAGCTGCAGCAGAGGTTGTTCATGGATTTTAAGGGGGCACGGGCATTCGCTGGGAGAGGGGCGGGGTGGCCCCCGTAGTTACGCACAACAGAGCTTTGTTAGGGTTCAGACCCTACGATGAGGCATACATTGTGACTTAAATCTGGACTTGCAATACCTTTTATAGCGCACGTTATGTTTATTTACGACGTCCATTTTATAAGTGGGTACCTTTGTTATTGTGGTTGAATTCACCCGAACACGCGAAATTGTTGCATCAGTGGGCCAGTAAGCACGGATACTATGGTGTAGAGCGCCCTGGAAGTGCGTTGGAAGTGGCATGCACAGTATATTTATTATAAAAGACGTCTAAATTGCTTTATACTTGAAAATAACACTGACTGCCCAGTTCACAACATAAGCCTACGACTACTACAATAGTGGGCCGCTGTCTAGGAACCCATGCATGTTTGCAATGCAGTGTTTGCGCATAACAGTACATTCATAAACATGATAAGTCTTCCAGTTTTGTTGATTCGTTTAAAGAAATTCTTAGTCTGCCGTTCCCATTTGCCACTCGCTCCTTTCGACGGCCAGAACCAGTACAAACGCAGCGAAATTCCCATTCACCTTGGGCAGGCACCAGAGTACTCGACACAATAGACTTGAATTTTAAGGAAAACATTTCTAATAATCTGCAAGATCCCACTTTTGCTTGTATACAGGGAGACGTATTATGCAAAATATGTGTCTTCTTTTGTGTTGATGGAATCTTTGGAATTCCCTTCAGATTTCGGGGGGGGGGTGCAGTAGGTACAATATTCTTAGGTTATACATTTTGTGCATCACATTGGGGGGTCCCCCTTTCCCCATATTGTGCTGGTTATCAAGGGAGAAAGCAGCCCTAGCAGCGCATGGTGCGCGTTAATTAAGATCACAATTTTGATGGAGCGTGACAATTGAAAAAGAACCTTTCAAAAGCACCTTTGGATAGTTTAATTTCTGTTTGTTTGTTTGTTTGTTTGTTTGTTTGTTTGTTTGTTTGTTTGTTTGTTTGTTTGTTGGGGTTGTTGGGGTGTTTGTTTGTTTGTTTTTGTTTGTTTGTTTTTAAACGGGTTCATAGATTTGATTTCAGACTGTCAAAGTCTGGAGCGTAGCCTTCGAAAAAAACGCACTGGCATGTACGCATGTGAAAAATAATTCGACGTTGTGGGGTTCTATCGTCCGATTTTGAGCAGGTCCAAAGCTTGTAGACCCTCGGGGCGATCTGATAGCTAGGGCCTGCCGAATGGTAGACGTTTAGTGTGCGCGTGTGGGAAATGTGCATTCCATGATCAAAGTACCACATTTCTGGCACACAGAGAAACTGATACAATGTAAACAAATCTGGATGAAGACAACAGCCACGGCCGCCATCATTAAAATTGCAACTCCTCCACACTTTTTAAAACGACGGCTGCCTTGCATTGGCGTCGCATGGGGCATGGCGGAGCTTGTCCCCTGGAAAGTGGCTTATCACTTTGCTGCCGCTGAGTGATATCCAAATTTGCTTGTCATCTCTTATTCTATGTCTGCCCCAGATTTGGTGTTTTTTTTCTTGCGACGTCAAAAATAATACATGGGATACTGAGGGTATACCGCCCCACTTCTGTATGCCACATGTCACATGAGAAAAAATTCAGATGTTGTTTATCTTTGTTCATTTTATTGACTGCACCTTAAATTTACCTATACAAGAACCCCGATATCGACTGTATGGTGGTGGTTTTTACTTCTTCGGATCACACTGGGAACAAAACGTATGCCCCAAACTAAATTATATATTTATTTAGTTCATGTACGATCTAATCTGAAAACAAACAGCTCCCCTGTGGAAGAGCCAGGGCAAAAGTTGCTCTGCATACAAAAAGTGGGATTTTAAAATGCTTTAATCGAAAGCTTTAATCTGGTAATCCTCCTAGTTTCTAAGTTATGGGCGATGGAACGAGTTTCAAAATGGGGGACAGTTGTGAGAGCATCAGGTATCAGCCAATTAAGAGAGCGATCCATTATGCCCCACCCCATAATAGGACCTTCCAAGAGTGGGGAGGCCTCTCCCCTGGTTGAAAAAATGGGGCCACTCCTCCACCCCTGCACCCCGGCTTCCGCCGCCAGCGAATTTGTCCGCTGGAGTCGCTAAGTTTGAGGTTTTCCTTTTGCTGTGGCTCTGACCTTGAACGTGTGGCTTGCTTTAATGATAATTGAAATGCCGTCATTGTTTTCTTTTTTTTTTCTTTAAGGAGTCTCAAAGCAGGCCTTCCCACTGGTGAAAAATGAAGTTGTCCCAAGTGGATTAGCACAGGGACCGATTCGGACGTCGATGCAGATGATCCCATGGCAGATGCTGTCCAACGAAATCAACTACCAACAAGTACCATCCCAATCAGTGGGTGTAGAACCCAAGAACAGACTTCTGGTTTCGAACCACATCAAACAACCTTCCCTCGGAACATTGCAATTCCACATGACCGGACCTGACGCCGACGCGCAACCATCGAAGGTGACACAGGATACTTTGGACCATAGTCTGGACATTGAATCGGGTCTTGGGCATGCACTGGTTTCTGATCTTTTAAAATATGATGGATCTGGGTCAGACCTCGGTAAAATGCTGGTTTCTGACCTCAACAAGGATAAAGGGTCTGGGTCTGGCCGCGGTAATCCACCGATTTCTGACCTGCACAACGATGATGGATCTGGGTCAGGCCTCGGTAATCCACTGGTTTCTAACCTCTATAAGGATGATGGATCCGGGTCAGGCCTCGGTAAGGCTCTGATTTCAGACCTGTACAAAAACGATGGATCTGGGTCAGGCCTCGGTAATGCACTAAATTCTAACCTCTACAAGGATGGTGGATTTGGGTCAGGCCTGGGTAATGCACTGATTTCTGATATGTACAAGGATGATGGATCTGGGTCAGGCCTCGGTAATGCACTGATTTCTGACCTCAACAAGGATGATGGATCCGGGTCAGGCCTCGATAATCCAGTGGTTTCTAAACTCTACAAGGATGATGGATCTGGGTCAGGTCTTGGTAATGAACTGATTTCTGACATGTACAAGGATGATGGATCCGGGTCAGGCCTTGATAGTCCAGTGGTTTCTAACCTCTATAAGGATGATGGATCCGGGTCAGGCCTCGGTAAGGCTCTGATTTCAGACCTGTACAAGAATGATGGATCCGGGTCAGGCCTCGGTAATGCACTAAATTCTAACCTCTACAAGGATGGTGGATCTGGGTCAGGCCTGGGTAATGCACTGATTTCTGATATGTCCAAGGATGATGGATCTGGGTCAGGCCTCGGTAATGAACTGATTTCTGACATGTACAAGGATGATGGATCCGGGTCAGGCCTCGATAATCCAGTGGTTTCTAAACTCTACAAGGATGATGGATCTGGGTCAGGTCTTGGTAATGAACTGATTTCTGACATGTACAAGGATGATGGATCCGGGTCAGGCCTCGGTAATCCAGTGGTTTCTAACCTCTACAAGGATGATGGATCTGGGTCAGGTCTTGGTAATGCACTGATTTCTGACATGTACAAGGAAGATGGATCTGGGTCAGGCCTCGGTAATCCAGTGGTTTCTAAACTCTACAAGGATGATGGATCTGGGTCAGGCCTCGGTAATCCAGTGGTTTCTAACCTCTACAAGGATGATGGATCTGGGTCAGGTCTTGGTAATGCACTGATTTCTGACATGTACAAGGATGATGGATCCGGGTCAGGCCTCGATAATCCAGTGGTTTCTGACCTCTATAAGGATCCTGGATCCGGGTCAGGCCTCGGTAAGGCTCTGATTTCTGACCTCTACAAGGATGATGGATCTGGCTCTGGTCTCGGTAATCCACTGGTTTCTAATCTCTATAAGGATGATGGATCTGGGTCAGGCCTCGATAATCCACTGGTTTCTAACCTCTACAAGGATAATGGATCTGCTTCAGGCCTCCTTAAGGCACTGATTTCTGACCTGTACGAGGATAATGGATCGGGGTCAGGCCTCGGTAATCCGTTGGTTTCTAACATGTACAAGGACGGTGGATCTGGGTCAGGCTTTGGTAAAGCTTTAATATCTAACATCTATAAGGACGACGGATCTGGATCGGGCTTCGATAATGTAATGGTTTCTGACCTGTACAAGGATAATTGATCTTGCTCCGACCTTTGCAATGTGGTTGTTTAAAATCCCTGACTACAAGCTTCGACTGTCTCCCGACTCTGATTTTTGAGCTTCCTCGCAGTAAGGTGCTTTGGACCTATTAGAGTTTTTCACTAAGTGGTGGAGGTACACTAAGAAATCTTGAGAAATCAATCAGAAAGTACAAAGCTGATGGTCTGTCTGTTTATTTTTTATCTTCTAATATGTTTTCGCGTGCAGCTGCAGTGAGTAAACCTCCCATGCATAATCCCCATCTTGACATGAGGTGCATGCACAAGGTTGATCGTGCACCCGATGCAATAAAGTAGACATCATCGGCGTCACGAGGGAAGGGGGTTAGATAAGGAGTGCTTAACCCCACTGAAAGAAATGGAACATAAAATAGTAATGAGTGAAGTCTGTTAATATCTGTTATACTCCTCATCCTTTATTTTTCTCTAATAGCAAAGGTCTCACCCAGATGACCATAAAGTTTTGCAAAAGTACATTTTGTTCACAATAAAAAGCTGCAGCTGCATTAAAGTAATTGTGTATATGTAACACGATTTTCTGCAGTCTGATACAAAATAGTTTTATTTTTATGAAATAGATACCTGAAATTTTATATTAGGTAAAGGGCTGCGAGTTATTCTCTAAGTTATATAAACCCAATGGCAAGGTGTGACATATAAGGTGTAAGGGCATAACATGTAACTAAGAGTTAACATCTTCCCGGCGTCAAGTACATCTTGAAGTAATATAAACGTAGTCGTTGTGTTTTTCTGTTATTGTATAACGCTTTTTCTGGTACAGCGTTTTCGTTTGTTTTTTTCACTGATGGTGGGATAGCACACAGGCTCCTCCCCACTCCAGAATCCAGATACTTTATCTGTAACACCAGTTTGTCCAAAGTTTGAAGCAGTGTCGGATCTAACAAGCCGATGGGACGGGGGGGGCAAGTTGGCCTTCGTTGCCTGTTCTGTTTAAGTGCCAATAATTCAGACACGGTTGTATCACCTTTCTTTGCAGGGGCGTGAAAAGTCTCACGGATGAAAATAAATTGAACAATCGGTGACTTAAGAAAACAATCCTCAACCCCCCCTCCCGATCAAACCCGGAACGCTGGGGATATAAGGTATAAGAGAACAACTGACTGCAAGGATGAAGAGATTGGTCCATGAAGCCCCGCCCCACTGTTTTCTGACCAATCAAAGCTATGATTTATGTCCGACATACGTGCTCAAAATTGGGACATTCGTGCACGCCTGTATGATACGCTGGGATGGAATACGTATTGTGGCATTGGAAAAGAGCATGTTCTAAATGCCAACATCCGCACTTGGTAGGGCTTACTGGATCGGTCTTTTGACCTTCACAGTCATTGCATATCTGTGGCAAACACAACTTGTCATGGAACATCTTGAAGCAATTTGTTATGTTCTGTTTCCTATTAGAGAAATAAAGTGTAGGCCATGCATATTCTATAGTAAAAGCATTTAGGAAACAGCGGAATAATAACTGATTCTTCTGTAAGCCTTTGGTAGTCGCGGGCGAAAGGGGGCACTTGTCACTTCCTTGAGAAAGATTCACGCGTCGGAAAAAGAAAACAGGGCAAAAAGAAACTGGTTTGGAAACGAAAAAGGAACGAGGAAGGAGAAGAAATCACTAATCTGCTAAATGTATCTCGGAATTAACCCCCTTCCTCTGTTGGCAGTTTGTTGGATTGCTGGTGACGAGAGCCCCATTCCGGCAACGCGCATGTCCGCACAGGAAGTTAGATTTCTTTTGTAGTTGGTTTCTCCACAGTGGTGGTCGGTAGTCTTACTCTTTGTAGGATAACATTTGAAACCTTCAATAAAAAAGCAAAAACAAATTAAAGAGGGAGTATCTTTTTTGATGCCCTTTCTCTCAGGGAATCCGGGTGGATTTACTCATTGTGTGTGCACATTACATGTCGGCAGCAATGCGCAAGAAGCGTATCCAAGGTTTGTCGAGAAAAAAAAGCAATACGCGTGCGCGATGTATGGCGCTGACTCGCACG